GGGACGTTTCCCGAAATCTCCTTAATTTTTACGGCCTCCATACCTGGGTCATAAAACACCCGGTGACCGCATGCGACGCAACAGCTACTTGCGACTTACCATCATAAATCACTACAACGACGAGACAAGACGAAACTAGACTTCGACAATTTCCCACCTCAAGAAGTAAAATAAACACACCCATGACCAATAACAAAATACAGCTTTTCTCCACGTAAAACTGCAACTGACTAATACGAAAAAACCCGAGGTTACATAAACTGAAACGCGACGAGGACCAGCAGAACGCTACGAGACGACTAAACGTTAAAGATCCAATCATTCCATCAGTATTTGTACCAACAAAGTTCAATTTGTATAAAATAAAGTAATAGTCATTATCTCTCGCCTTGTCATCTTCCTTCGATCGGGACAAGAACCTTTCCGTAAGTTGTGGCAATGTAACATGCAGTATTTCTGACTGTCAAGAGCAGACATAATTTTATTAATTAGCCTGTATACCTGCTCTGTTGCGGCGTGCTTTTCTCTGAACTCAAAGTAGTGGTCTGGTATTAGTTATTTACTGTTGATTATTTCCATAATTCTGATTTAAGTAATGTAAATATTTTTTCAAACATATTAAATAATATTAGCAGAAGAGAGATGGGTCTGCACGAGGAAGACTCGTTGGGAAGCACTGCACTCTGAGTATGGTGTTGTAAATTATTGTTATTATTCTAATGTTCTAAGTTCTTTAATGATTCTTCCATTGATTAAGTCAAATCCCGGAGTATTATTAATTGTTATTGTTGAGATCATTTGTTTTATTTTTCTGCTTGTAGTGTTGAGTATTGTATTGTTTTGTCCCTCGTTATCAGTGTTATAATTTGTTGTCATTATTGTTGTTACTTTCATTGTTACACTGTTTGGTTGGAATGTTTGATGAAGGTTTTCTGCAAATGTTAAAGCTTGTTCGAAAGAAGTTTTCTTATTGCTAGTGTCGGTACTATTAGTTTTCTTAATCTTTTCGTTGCCTCCTACAGTGAGTAGTTATTGTCTTTGTTTGGTGTATCCGAAATCTATTGCTGTTCCATACTGCTATTTTGATTGAATTATTGTGAAAAGTTCCATCATGAAAATTCTTTGTTGAATTTGTGTTGTTAGCATGTTGGTTATGAGTTCTGTATTTTTTGAACTGGGTATTTGAGTAAGTGCCGGATGTTTGATGTGGTTATTGTGTATTGCATTTAGCAGTTTCCTGTGTATAGGACCTGTTGCTTATATACTGAAACTGATTGTGATTATAGGAGGGAGTTAGTGTTGAACTGAATACTGCAATGTGTGGTAGGTGATTTTTATTTCTTGCGGCTGAGGATTTTTCTGTCCTTTCCCTCAGAGTAAGAAACAGTTTTCGTGGTAACTCCTTTCTTATTATACTGCTCTTGTAACTTGCAGGATGATTCCCTTCGCAATTTCTGCAATTTACATTCTATATTACCTTGCTACACAGACGTATTAGGTGATTCTTACATTGTCTCATAGTTGGCAGCCAGGGTCTTTTGATAAAATTTCTAGTGGAAGAGAAAATTGTCCCTTGGAATCATGAATTTTGTAAATTTCCTTGGTGTGGTTGGAAATTTGTGCTCTACGTATTGAACCATTTGGTGAGTGGTCACCAACTCCAGGGCAAATTGTGTTGTTGTTGGGTCAGTACAGGAAAGCCACACTATTATTCACTCCAAGCGAAAAAGTTGCAGATAAAGTAGGAGTGGGAGTAAGGTCCATCTGTAATGAGAAGAAGGGCTTTTTTTGCTGTTTTTTATATTAACTTACTGACACTTTGCTACGTACATTGCTTCAATTATGGGAAAACAAATTTAACTTGAATTCCATGAGACAATACATAGCCTTATTTGTAAATAAACCAAATATTACTAAATTAACTCATAAATTCTTGAGTGGTCCTTTGAGAAATGCACAAGTGCAATACGTAAAGCCACAAATCACGAGGCATGTGTTACGGAGCTAATCAAACATACATAATAAACGTACAAAGAATAACCCTAGCCATGGACACTTAAGGTTTTCTTAAAGATGTTTATAATTATACATGTCTTTTAAATTATTTTTGTGCATTAATGTGTATAAGAAACCTTGAATATTACAATGGAAGAAATGAAATAGTCACAATCAATATATTTACTATAAAAAATGTGCAATAAACTTGCACCTAATATCTTCGCAAAACAAAAAGTGGCCTCTATCGTCGGACAGTTTAAAATAATTGACAGTTTTCGTAAATACAATTATCTAAATATTGAGAAATATTTAACCAATTTCATGAACTAATTTGTAATGTTTGAAACATTGAATCCAGTCCTTATGATTACATTTTAAACAAAATTATACATGTAATTTCTTCAGTGACAGATTGGCGAACAGTTTATTGACACTTTGCACATTTTGCCAGTTTAATTAAATGTTTTATTCATATCCTCTTTTTTATGACATATAGTGTTTCATATGATGTACCACTGTCCAGGAATGGGGAAAAC